AGGACACCTTCCCACAACATGTTTACATGCCCCAACTGATGACCTTGAACTAGTTCTTGGACCAGGATGATTGACCTTGATAAACTCCAATATCTCTATATGTTAGTAAGGGTAATTCTAGAGGTCCATAACAGGGCCATTATACCCTGGGTCACAAGTTCAGATTTATACCTCACAGTCATGACTGCAATAAAGCTGATAGTGAACAGGTGGATTTCCTTCAGATCTGTAATCCCCAAGCAGATGCATAGTACATGCATGACTTGACTAGCTGCTTGCATATCTTTTTGCCTAATTGAATTTGCATGGAATTGCCCTTCTCTATATTTTATTTTTAATTAAATGTAAAATGTAAAGTAACACAGACATTAGCAAGAAAGAATTTGCAATACAAAATAGTCCAGACAGCTGATGCAAATCTTAGATCCATGTGCACGTGGGGTCAGGAATACAAATGCCATAACTCCAACATGCATGTAATACAAAATGTACTATGTAATGGTAGCCATACTTAAATATCAGGAATATAACCTTAATCGTATTTTCCATCAATATCTTTTAAAAAGTTCAAATTCTACTGGTGAAGTAATTAAACTCCTCAAGTTGCAATGTGTGACAAAAACTGCCCTGAAACTTTTAAATTAAAAAGAGTAATTAGTACATACATGTATGTACATGTATACTTAAGTCTTAAGAGCTAAAATTCCTTCCCATACCTTAAAGGCTTTTGGTGTGGCAGCAGTGCCTTATCTCCGTTTCTATACAGCTCTTGCACGTAGTCTGCTGGTAGCGGAGTATGTTTAACTGAGTCTTTCTCCAAAGTGCTGAGTGCTAAGCAAGCACCTGACAAAATGTATGTACCATTTTTAAAGTCTTTGGTATGACCTGGCTGGGGGTGTTGAACCTTGTCTGCATGACATGCTTATTTGAACTTAACCTTAACCCCGTCACGTACCCAGCTTCAAGGATGGTCTGCTTTTGGTACGCTATTTGACACTTGGATAATACATGTAGGAAGTTGTATGTATGTAGCCACATGCTTAAAAAGTTTTAATGCATACTGGGCCCTGGGACAGTACTAAATCTTTTCTATCTGGGAGTACCGGGAGTAAGCACTGTAAATTTGACATTGTAGTGAAAATCAAGAGTATATGGTACATCTTTGAGTTTGTAGGTGAAGCAACTTTAACTGTAGTAAATATATAAGACAGGAATTTTAAAAAATCAGCGATAAACGCTACTTAACATGCTGCAAAATAAATCACAGTAATGATCTATAGACTAATGTTATCAGGTTGCAGTCTACAATTTTATCAAATTCCAGACACATGTATTTTCATACTGTACATATGTCTATCCTCCCTATCGCAGATGCTAGATTCAAGTCAAAGTATACCGGTATCATATATGTTTATCTAATGATATTTATCACTGGTAGACATCAAGCAGTATGATTTCATCTAATAATCAATTGGACTTGAAAAACCTGATTCAATCTCTAGATTTCTTTTCATTCCATTGAAAAAATTTTATATTCAAATTCGAATAAATTATATATCAAATGGGGTCTATTTACATGTGCTGCATTTTTAATTACATTTTGTACTAGTAGCTAAGAGGTAAGAGTTACACTGAACATCAGGTGAGGTCCCTCTTATATATATTATATATGACTGGTTCATGTTTAATGTACAATGTACATATATACATCAACTGATCATCTAACAAGAATGGACTCTAGAGTCTCTGGCATTCCATGTTCATTAAATTGATTGCAAGCAAGATCTTTGCCATGCTCCATTCAGTACAATTATGAATTGCAACATGTAGTCAATAGGCATTTGTCAGTATCCATTGGGATTATTGTATGCAGAATATCAGACTCATTAGAAGATCTGATATCATCACTGATATAACCCAGTCCCATGTTTTTCTTACACACACATCATCTTTGGTTCATTGAAAAAGCTAAGGTTATTTTCTAGGCAAAATTTATGGATCAAAAAATATTTTTTCTTGTAACAATCAATTTCACACACCTGTTGACAATTGTAGCTAATTAAGAATCTCTAACAGTAACTGGCCAAGTTAAGGCGTAATTCAAAAAGGCAGAGCATCTTGCACTGTTGCAGGAGATATTCATTAGTGGTGTTTGCATTATGTTCTGTTGTTCCCCCAGTGGATATAACTGACAGTATTTTTATGTCATATATAAATATATTATATGACCATCATATATACATGTATATAACCACTCAATGATGACCATCAAAATATGATGATGAAAGTGATGATGACACCTTAATTTGTAAATAATGCAATTGAGGGCTAATCTCAATGACCTTTTTACCTTTCATATCAGTCCTATGTATGACATAATGTAAAATTCAATCAGTCGTTATTCCAATATTGCAGGGACCATCCAACAAGCATGCCATAGTGCTTCCAATTTAACATTTTGGGCATCTCCTTAATGAAAACTTTAAAAAGTGTACTGTGCATATTTTTATTTAGTAATTAGCATGTCTTCTAAAAGACTATAAATATGCTCACTCTATAATATATACCCAAACCTGAGGACAGAGCACCATCATCTGCACACAGCACTTGAGATCATTGAAACATTTCGTTCATGCTTCAACTGAAATTCTATAACTCAACAGTTATCATACCAAAGAGGCTATATAACCATCTTGGTTATGAAGCCCTGGTGTTGATTGATGCGTATCACGGTTGTCTATTACTAATAACACTGTACATGTATTCGGACAAAATATCTTGCCTCTTCGGTTATGTTCATCTCCATTCCGTAAACGGATCCAGAAAAGACTACAATGTATAATGATAATACAACCATGCAACCCGCGTACCCGCGGGACATCTGGACGATTGCGTAATCGCCACCGACCGTAAACAACAACAGCGCACACCCTTCCAACCCTACCTGTGATCTTTTCTCGTGAGATTTCCACGGCCGGAAACAGGTGCAGAGAATGAGATATTAGGCAAAATCAGACCAAAGGAAAACAGAGGAAGCAAACTGGCATTTGTCCAAGAGAAGGATCGCTAGAGAGCGGTGTTGTTGTCTGTCAAAAAAAATGTCACATCTCAGCAAGCCGACAAAATTAAGCGACAAGTCCAGTACCCTTGGCGGAGCTTAACTCCCTGAGTTTAAACTATATGCTGCAACTGGAGATGGACCAACCTTTGGAACCGCCTGTGCCAAAGTATCCCGCAATGTTGTGCTATCAAAACGCAAAAACTGCGTCATCCGCGGATGCGCCAAAAATTTTATATACTCCCCGCCATCTTCTGACGCAAAGGACTGTGGGAGCGGCAGTACCACTCTTCGAAAGGGGATACTTGGGGTAAGGAAAACTAATTATAGTCTCAATAAATCTTAAATCTCAATCTAAAAGTTATAAACAATCGACAGTGTATATTTGAAATTAATAATGTATGAATAATAAAATATATTTTGCTATGAAAGTAAACATATTATTTGGCAAATATGAATTCAAAACTTTTCACTTCACCCTATTCTGAGCACTGATGGTTTCGACCACAAACACAAACATAACAACGTAAATGGCGCCAAAATCGAAAATCCCTTGTGACAGGTGCATGATGCTGGTTGAATAAGGCATTCGGTTCAAGTCGTTCTCTCAATATGGATGATACGACTTGATTCCAGGTTTTCATGGGCAAGGAGGAATTTTGATACAATCGTGACTTCAAACAAAAAAAAACGTTGGCGAAATTAATATTGCAAATGTAAAACTTCGTTCAAGCAGTGGCAAGTTCAAGTGGTGATGTTGAATTGCATTGGAGAGGCACTACTAGTATAAGGAATGTTGAGACAAAATTGATCATTAAAATTTTACTTCATAACTCAGTAAACTAAGGTGAAAGTTTGGCCAGGCGATATAGGCAACTGACACAGTGGGCATTAGGGTCACTATTGACGACTACGTTGCCTGGGAATGTTAACACCAATAACAGCCAAAATGGGTTAATATTTAGCCAAGCATACGTGCCTTTTGTACTATATATATACGGAGCTACGCAATGAGACAAACAACGAGGAAGAGGAACAAAATGGCGATTGCAGCCTTCATATTTCCCATCGCTTGCAGTTATTTCCCAGTGAGATTTCAAACTCCTTTTATTTCACGATCTTTACGTACCTCTTGATAAGGTTTATAAGAAAGCGTGCTCACGATTTGCCATCACATATGGCCAGAAATTGGCGCATATTTGTTTGAAGTTGTAACTAAGGTCTAAGATGGCATTTCCTTCTTGTTTCAGGTTGTGCGAGCCGGTTACACTCTATGTTATGACAACAAATAGTGAGTCCTTCGTATTCGCAAAACTCTCATGGCCTCTCATCACATATTGACATACTGTATAGGAATACAGAAGAAAACGTGTGGACGTTTTTGTGCTGACTTAGTGACTTATTGATAAACACCTCACGTGCTGTTTACAGTACAAGTGCATATTCTGATCCCAGTATTTAGTGTACCTGGTTTAGATTTGTGTACCTGGTCCCGTTGCAATGTATTCGAACGCTTGAAAAATACTAGATAAGGCAACGGGCACTGGATTAGGCTATACGGCGAAATGGAAATTCATATAACGTTATACCAGTCTAGCGCTAGCGCTTAAAGATAGAGTCATTTACGCGGTACGATGGTCTAGTGACCTCATTATGCAAGTACTACGTACATACTAGTGAAAATAAAACAATGGATAGAAGAACGTAACGTAGTAATAAAAATGTATATTATGAAATACTAGTACTGCCATCATCTTAGGTGGTTTGCATTGAATATGACCGTTTTTGCAACGTTGCTGCAAACAACAGGGTACTGAAACTGCTAACTTGAACTTTGGAATACTGCAGAGAAGGTTGGTAAACAGTTGGCATATCTGATACTACTATGTTGTTAATGTTGCCTTACGTAGTTGTCCAGATGGGTACTACTGCTGCGGTGACCAATGCTGTGCGTACGTCTGGTCATACTGGTACTTCTGGTAAGAAATCTTCCAGTTTTCATCTTCTATCGGTAAGATTTTTGTCCATTTTAACCCGAGGCATACTTGTAAAATACAGCATGATATCATATCTATGAATAGATATGGACACTTTGTCGTGATGTGCTCGTCTAGTCACATGCCCTCTGTTTTGTCAATTGTCAAAATCAACAGTTTCTAGGTATTTGTAGAAATTTCGCTTAAAAGACACTCCCGAATAAGTTGACATTACATCAAATCTTTACCGAATCTATACTCCAATACTGCATCGCCGTCCCGATTGGTAATCCATTCTGGCTATATGATGACACTCCTGTATCACCATCAGGTGTGGCCTGGCGTTCTTCCTGTTCGCTGTCCTGTCTGGGATCATCACGGCCTGCAAACGGTGCCGGGCAAACCGACGTCGACGGAACATGCCGCCAAGAACGATAACGTTTAACTTAACAGACACTAATAACGGCAGTAGTAGTGCACAGCAGATGACCAGCTACCCACCACCAGAAGTAAGCTCAGCCCTCCCACCGTATTATCCAAGGTCTACTACAACAGATCACAGGACACCAGCAACACAAGGTAATATGTTACTTAACACACTATTTACTAACACATTGTTTCGTTGAATGTTTTCATAATACATGCACCATAGTACATTTGTGTGTGTGCGGTGTTCAGGACCAGGGCAAGGTAGCTGTTATGTTTGTGTGTGGATGGTGTTCAGCACCAGGGACAGGTAACTGTTATGTTTGTGTGTGGATGGTATTCAGCACCAGGGACAGGTAACTGTTTTTTTTGTGTGTGTGGATGATGTTCAGCACCAGGGACAGGTTACTGTTATGTTTGTGTGTGGATGGTATTCAGGACCAGGGACAGGTAACTGTTTTTTTTTGTGTGTGGGTGGTGTTCAGCACCAGGGACAGGTTACTGTTATGTTTGTGTGTGGAAGGTGTTTAGCACCAGGGACAGGTACTGTTATGTTTGTACTATGTTTTAGTGTGTGTGTGTTTGTGTTTGTGTATGTTGGAAGGGATGAAATCTTTCTTTTGTACTGAATTGTTTTGCACGTATATATTTCCAGCAGCTTCCAGGGAGCAATGCGACAACCCCGGGTTGTTGTATGATGAATTCTTGGCAGACCTGCGACCAATTCGCCCTGGAGAGAAACCTCCGCCGTACTCCCTGTACCCACCCGAGTATCACGGAGACCCGACAACCATACCGTCCTCCCAGCTAACCTCTGGCCAAAACAACAGAGGCCAGCTGCAGCATACGTAAACATGTACTTCCCCTCTGTGAAATATCAGCGTCAATAGCAACATATAATTCCACATGCTTACTTGCTTAATTAACATGTCCATCAGTTGGCGACGATATCAGTCCTGGTTCATTGTATATACATGTACATGTGTTCATTTATCACTTATCAATCAAATCCTTTACTGACAGGTAGCTGTAAAAGAACAGTTCTAATCAGATTTAATTCAAAAACAATGTCCAGACTTATTTAAATTTCAAAGCATTTGCATTTCTAGGATTTTTTTCGTGTTAGCTCTGACCTTAGACTTACAATATGTAAACCGAACAATTGAGTGTTTTCAGTAGTATCTGTGTATGTACAATTACATGTTCAAGACTTGCTTCTGTTTTGTCTAGGGCATATTGACAATCATGTTTTTAGTTATTCCAAGTGGCGTTATGTTTTTGATGACGTGTGTTTTTGGACAGGTTGACTACATGTAAATAAAGCTTGTGATGCATTGTGTGGTTCTCAATGAATGGATTATTGCTAGAATTATTATCTTCTTGGCATGATTAGTTAATAATGAAATGTCATACGATAATCTAAATTGGCTGGAATTCCATATCTAATACATGTAATATCTTACAGAACAGTGTGTTGTTTTGTGTGCCTTGATTAACAATTTAACAATATGATATGCCAAATACATGTAGGTTCATTTCATGGCTCAAAGTTCAACAAATTTGTCATATTGTTGCAAGTTGTATCATGAAAAGTATAAAACCAATACCTTCTCTAAGACTCAACAAACACAACACAACAAAACCCAACTCCCCATTCACATATTTATTTTAAAGCATAAAAAGCACTACATTGTGATACCCTGATTTGGCTATATTCTGCCAGGCAAAAGTGCTTTTCATTATTGAAAAAAAACTCCCAATGTACCCAAAATCCAAGCAATAATATCCCTCATATATATTGCAGTTACATAGAGATATAAAACAATTGTGTGACAAGTATAGCTGAACCCAAGAGGACAGTGACTATGGACAATATTCCCCCCTAATCATACATTTAGCATATTCCCTAAAATACAAATTAATACTAATCATACTAATATTCATTACTCTTGCAGCAATCATCAGGCCCTAAAGGCCAGTACTTATTAATGACTGAAACTTCCTTGGATAATCATCATTTCAGATTTTTGTTCTGATTAATGAAAAAAAAAAAATAGGCATGATTTCTGACAATGAATATGAAATAGAGTCACATCCTTCCCTTAGAATGTTCTGTGAAATCATTTGGCAATTCTCTAGTACATCATGATGTTAGTCTTGAATATCATTCTGACTGAATTCAACTACTGCAGCTATTAGCCTTTTACATTGATCCTTCTCACCTAGTATGGCAGCTAGGAGCTAAATTTTCTGAATTATAACCGTGTGATACACAAATTAAGCAATATTGATTAAACATATTATCCTTGCTCCACTCTGTTCTACAGCATTTCTATGCATTGCCATTGATACAATTTACTACGTCAAACTATGATTACTTTGCATTTATCCACAATTTTAAATTCATTGGTATCAATTTTCAAATTACATTCAACAACTACAATGTGCTTGAAGACAAAATTAATTCTCTGTCTTAAGCAAAAAGAAATTACATCACAATTAGTCAACTTTGTTATGTCTAAAAGGAATGCAGTCCTACAAAATTATCTCTAAGTAGACTGATAAGCATTTCTTTGTGTCTTGTCCACAATGTCATTATAACACACACGCTGATAGTGACTCCATCTACGTGAATTTAATTACAAGGTTAGTACAGTCTTCATTTCAAGGCTACAATTATGATCAGTGATCATTTCTAGGACATGGGATTCAACAAGAAATACTGGTGACATTCTCTGTAAAAAATGTTTCATCAAGTTTACACTCAGGAATGGTTAAAAGACCAATACAGCTCGGGTATGTCAGCTATGCTGTGCTGTTAGGGTCTACTGCCTGTAAAGCCAGAGCCTCTGCAATCTTTTTCTCTTGAGAGTCTGTAGTTTCAAGTGCAGATGGCACTGTATCCTGTAGGTCTGGAGGCTGCTGTGTGAGCGGCATGGCAGCGGTCTGCTCTGTCTGCGCTTCAGCAGGATCTGCAACCTGCTTCTCTGAAGGTTGTACTGTCTCATCCTGCAGTTCTGGTGGACCGGCAAGTTCTGCAGGGTCATCTGTCTGCTGCTCCACGAGATCACCTTGTTGATCTGGGACTGCCTGAAGCTGTGGTGGGTCTGCAGCCTGTTGATGAACAGGTTCCTCGTGGTCATGCTGAGGTGCTTCATCAGCCTGCAGAGGTTCCTCAACCTGTGGGGGTTCTTCAGCCTGTGAAGGTTCAACCTGTAGAGGTTCTTCAACTTGTGGAGGCTCATGAGCCTGTGGGGTTTCTTCAGGCTGTGAAGGTTCTTCAACCTGTGAAGGTTCTTCAACCTGTGGAGGTTCAACCTGTGGAGGTTCTTCAACCTGTGAAGGTTCTTCAACCTGTGGAGGTTCTTCAACCTGTGGAGGTTCTTCAACCTGTGGAGGTTGCTTCAACCTGTGGAGGTTCTTCAGCCTTAGGAAGTACTACTGCCTGTGGAGGTTCGTCAGCTTGTTGTGGGGCTGGTACTTCAGCCTGTTGTTCAGGAGCCTGTTGCTGGACAAGTTCCTGCTGCTGAGATGCAGGGGGATCCACTTCCATCCCTTCTACCTTTACTACTGGAGGATCCATTTCCATCTCTTCTATCTTTACTTCAGTAGCCTCCATCTGTTGAGGGGCCGCCACTGCTGCTGCCATCTCCTGAGAGACCATGGCCCCATCCTCCACCATCATCTCATCCACTTCTGCCTCCACAAACTCTGCATTCCACATCATACGGAACTGTTCGCGCTCAGACCTGCACAGAAATGGACAAGCACGCATGAGTATCTGTAATACCAGTAATGGTGGGTTACAACTGCATCAGTGAATATCAATCGAACAAATTTCAATACACGGTTTAGGAAGTGAACAATGCAAGGATTTATCTGTAATTTCAAACACATACCCAGGTTTTTGACCATGCCTATGCATAGGAATGAGTCAATCCGTTGCAGACAATATCTTTTTGGACACAACATTTGAAAAATATAGATGGGATGTCATCCTTATATACACAAATTCAACCTTAAACGAGACATTCTGCCAAAGTGCTATGCGCAATACATTACGAGTTTCATGTAGGTGTAGTACATTCTGCTTACATGCTACCTATTCTCACAATCGCTATACTTACCTCCTCTCCTGTACCACGGTCTCCAACTCCTTAGACTTGACGGCAGCCACCTGGAGGATGCTGGGAGGAATATTTGCCAGCTGTGCCACGTTGAGACCGTAACTGTGAGCTGCCATGGAGGGCACCAGCTGGTACAGGAATGTCACCACCTCAGGTAGAGGGGCCTTGGGTCTGTTTGCCTCAGTCTTGCTACCTTCTGGTTGATCACTTATCATTTCTGGAATTGAATAAAGTCTGTTTATGAAATTGAAGTATGTGAAGGTTTAGTTTAAAGCATTTCATAGCCACAGATTTTCAAGTGACAGCATTGTTACTATTGTTACACACAATACACAACAGCATATACTGTAGTCAAATCAATTTTCCCTTTATCACTTCAATTTATTTCCAATGTTCGAGTGTATGTAGCCTCAACTACTTAAATCAGAGGGTGCAGACAGTTGCATCTCAGAATAATGACAATCCATTCAAAGCTTAAATTTGACTATAAACACTTTTCTACACTGTCGTTTTTGTACCGATCTGGATATGAATTTCCAACGTACACTGATATCTGAGTAAAGTATGACAGGAGCATATTGAAGATTTTTGGTTTTGAATGGGGCAATATGACACTAGTAGTAGTTATGCTTACCTTGTCCCTGGTTGATGACCAGGAAGGCCATGTGGTAGTTACACATGGACTCTGGGTACAGAGCCTCCAGCTCACCCAGGGGTGGGAAGTGGGTCACAAACAGGGTTAGACTCTTCACCTAAAAACACAAGAAAAACTACAGGTCAAACCTTCACGTACATGTACATAATTCAAGACTTTATAGTGTATAATTCACAATTTGAAGATATCAGAAACCAACTGCGAACAAAAGTTGACCATTCTATCCAAATGGAGAAAAAAATTGATTTCTCTCAAGACTCAGAATATCCCAATCTTTTGCAAGCATTTGGGACCGCATTGTTGATGCTGTTCCCTGTAACTGTGTAGATATGTAAATATTTTTTGTTTGGTAATGCATCTATTGCAGCATCACCTGCG